GTACACCTGAAACTAATATAATATTGTAAATCAACTATACCTCAATTTAAAAAATAATAAATAAAACAATTTTTTTTAAAAAAAGAATAGTGGACAACTAAACTACAGGGTAATTAGCAAGATTTAAGTTAGAGCCTCCTGACTTTTTCTTTTAATCTGCAAAAGAAGCCCACAGATGCCCGAAGGAAAGGGCTGCCCCACCTTTTAGGAGCTGGGAATGTGCATGCCAGGGAGGTGGCCTGGACTGACCAACTCGCTCTGGTCCTTACATGCTCTGGGATCGCCTTGGGCCTGCACCTACCACGTGGCCAATAAACAGAAATTGAATAAATTCATTCAATCCAGTTCAATTAATTAAATGAATGTTCAGCTTACTTCCTTCTCTGCCTCAGTTTCCTCTCTACCATATTCTCATTCCTGGACACAAAAATAAAACACTGTTGCGAAGACCAGTATTCTGGAAGACAGTTGAAGTCATTTGCTTTTTTTTTGGCCATGCCACGCGGCATGTGAGATCTTAGCTCCCCGACCAGGGTTCGAACCCATGGCCCCTGCATTGGGAGCAAGGAGTCCTAACCTGACCAACAGGGAAGTCCCTGAAATCATTTGTTTTCAATGTCTCCTCCTGTGGGCCTCCCTCTCCCTCAGGCCTGCACTCAGTAGGTTGGCTCAGAAAAAGCTACTTGGATTCGAATCCCGGTTCTACCACTTTTGAGCTGTGAAACTTGGACAAGTTACTTAACCTCTCTGAGCCTCAGTGCCTCACCTATAAAAACAAGCATAGTCCCTACCTCATCTGTTTGTAGTGAGAACTGAGTGACTTATTACAGGTAAAGAGCTCAGACAGGCTGGCACACTATAAGACTCCATAAATGTTATTATTACAGAGTAAAATACTCGCTGCTAATCACAGCTGAGGTGTGGGCAGATTACTAAAGTATAATTCCTCCCAGCAGTATTTGCAACTTAAAAGAGAGAAGAAACTTGAAGGCCCAAAGGAACAAAGTAGTCAAGGGTGACTGCCCAGGGCTAAGGTTGATGTCTGGGGCGGGGCAAATTGAGGGAGGAGAACTTCAAAAGCACACCTCCTCGCATCCCCCCTCCCTGCCAGCCCAGCCTATCTCCCCCTGGGCTGATAGGAGATAAACGAAACCACTTCTTCAAAGCACCCTGCTCAAGGACCAGGATCAAACACAGGGCTGGGAGATAAGCTTCAGCCTACATTTCCTTTGTCCATTCCTTCCCACCACTTCTCCAAAGGAAACTCAAGGGGGAGGAGAAGTAGTTAATTCCTCCCTCTTTTATCAAAGGGAGTTACCTCCCCATCTATAGGGCAATGGGGACGATGGGGCTGTGATAGGAGAACAAGGGAGAGAAGGAAGCCTCTTCTTGCTGCGCTGCCAGGGTTGCTGTGTGACTTACACTCCCCCAGAAGCTCTGGGAGCCCCAGTCTTTATCTGTCAAAAGGGATCAAAACACCTGCCCAAAATAACTCAGAAAAGTGTTGCGGGATGATGAACGCAAACGTGTATTTGGGAAAAGATCCTTTAACAGGCTCATATCGTTGACATTTTGAAAAACACGAAGTCATCCACCTTGAGTCTTTTTACTAATATGGTGAGGGGAGATAGAAAGAAATAACCCGCTGTATGTAAAATTCTTATTCGTTCATCAACAAACTTTCACTGGGCATGTATGGCACTCAGACTGCGTGTATTCATACCCCCATCTCGTACCAGCTGGGACTTGGGGCAGGGTACTTAACCTCTCCGTGCCTCCACTTCCTCCTCTGTGAAATGGGGTGACAATAGGACCTACTTCCTAGGGCTTCTGTGAGGATTAAATGAGAGAAATTGAGGAATTGCGCAAAGCGCTTCCAACAGTGCTTGGCTGTCGGTGTTGGCTGCTGCCACGAAGATATTTAAACATCCCTCTAGGCAATAAGAATACAACGAGTATGAGGGCAATACAGAAGCACCCACAGTCCAGCAGAATGGACGACTAAATAAATAATGGCAGATGCCCTGTGATGAGCGTAAGAACATAATCGGAGCTGTGAGAACACAGAAGACGGGGCTACCAGAGCGGGCTCCCTGGCAAGGCTGGTCCTTCTTGCTTTGCCTGTTTGTTCCCACTGTTCCTTGGGCCCCTCTGGTCTTCTCATGCCCGGGGCTGTGTCTGAAGCCTGGGGATGGGGCAGACAGAGGCAGTGCTGAATCAGGGCTCCTGGCCAAGGCAGTAGTTGCCAGTGGCTGAAAGATATTAAGCGCCAGGGAGGAAAACCAAGTCCCCTGTGAGGCCGACATTTCAGAATTCTTACAGCTAGTAAAAAAAAAAAAATGTAAATAGTTACCCAGTGAGATATTATTTCTTGTTGTTGCCATTAGGGCTTCAGTGTCATGAAGAGAGAGGCCGTGATTGGGGCAATTCCACCTTGGTGAGGATGGAAAACTCCACATTAATCCCACACGACACACCTCCCACCTCTCCTCCCAACCTGACTCAGGCGTTTTTTTCCTGGGTGGTGAGTTTTATGTAAATTGAAATCATGAAAAAAAAATCTATAAATATTCAGAATTTCCTAAAGGATTTTCTTGACGGCTTTTGAGAAGCATTTTTTTTTTAAAGACTCCTGTGACTGGAGGCTGGGGGAGGGGTACCCTCATTGGGTAGGATGCTGGGCCGACTTGGGTGTTCGAGTGGGTTCCCAGCGCTGGGAGCGTCTGGATCCAGATGTGCAGTGACTTCTCCAGAGCAGTCGCCCCACAGATGCCAACGATGCTGTTGGTCACAGCCATCACTGACCTGGGACTTTCTTTGTGCCAAGCACCAGTTGTGTGACATGCATTGCCTGTTTTGGGCCTCCCAACTCTGAGGTGGCCGCTCTTAGGTTTTATACCTGAGGTTTCCGAAGCTTAGGGAGGTTTCCTTGCCCAGGACCACCGCGGTAATGTAGATCAGAGGTCTGGTTCCCAGAAACCTGACTCCAAGGGGCCGCTCTGTCACCCACTGGTCGCTGGCCTTTGGGTAAGTGACTAACCTCTCCACGCTAGAAATGGGAAGGATAAAGGTACCTGAAACGTATCAAGGGCCTGACACACAGAATTGTAATTCTTCACCTCATTGGCTGGGGGCATTCTCAAGCAGCCCCACCCCATCCTACTGTCATGGTGCCCCTCCCTCTCAGGGCAATCTGGGAAGGGTCCCTTAGCCACAGGACTGCCACTTTTCTGCAGAGGAAGGACTTGGGCCCTGTACAACACTGTCTTGTGTGGCATTTTCAACTACACCTCATCAACCTCAATAAACACCGCCCAACTGAAAACTTCTTCAGCCTTATTCTCTCCCAGGTGACAAGACATCCCTTTGAAAACGGACTTGCTTTAGGCCACTAGGGCCCCGTTTAGGACTCTATAGAGGGTAACATTTCAGCTAAGTGAATGTCAAGTACGGATTGTAATAATCGTCTAGTACCTTTTAATTAGGCCTCTGGCCTGGCTGAGTATGGTCTTCCATATTCCCTCCTAAGGCGATTGGATGGATCCAGCCAAAGGGTTCCTGCTTTCCTCATCAGCACCCGAAAGGGAAGCATGGCCCTATTCCTTTGCTAGCACTTTCCAGGAGTGGGGAAGTAGGTCTGGTCTCCCCCTAAGTGCTGTCTGGCACCCCCGTTCCTAGTGATTAGCTGTGAGCTTAGGGAATGGGGTTTCTTAAGGACAGTATATGATTACCTGGGCAAACTCTCCACCCTCCATCCCGAGCCTGGTCACCCTGTCCTCACCTCCTCTGCTCTCCCGTCCTTTCATTCATTCCTTACCTCCTTCTTCTTTCCTCCCCAAATAGAGAGTAAATATTTTATCTCCCTCCGTTCTCCCCTCTCTTTCTGCTGCCTCCCACCCCCCTAGATTCCTTCCAAATTCCTAAATGCCTTTGTCTCTCGCCCCTCCCCTTTGTTCCCAACTGATTCCCCATTAATCATCCCTAACACACATCTGCTGGGGTCCTAGCAGGAGTTCTTGGCTGGCACTCACAGCTGGGCTGGTTACGATAATCAAGAAGGGGTCTTTCATCTTTTCCTGTCTCCTAGGGCTCCCCCCTTCCCAGCTTCTCCTCCTCCAAGATTGCCTACAAAGGCCCACCTTCTTCCATTCTGGAAGGTTCTGCCCTCTCTCTGCAGAGCAATCTCCCAAAGGCCAAATGGCCTCATAGGCTGAAGCAGCCCTGAAGTGGATGTTTAAACTTGGTGTTGGCAGTAGCAAGGATGTCAGAGGGCTCAGAGGCTGGCATGAGAAGGGGGGGTGGGCCGGGTGTAGGGACCACCACAATAAAATAAGTGAGGTCCCCCCTCCTTCTTGTAACCCTCTTGCTGCAGTATGGAATACATCACCCAGTCAGGGCATCCCTTGGCATTCGTGGTAACCTAATTTTACCAGGATTAAAACTGGGGCAGGGAAAGCTTGTGTAATTTCTCAGAGGTCTATGCATACTGTCCAAAAACCAGATGGATCCAGGAAGTACATTCAGTTTAGTGTGTAATTGACGTGGTGCCGGCTGCCTTCTTTACTGAGCATGATAAAGATTGCCATTTGTTATTTCTGTGATACTTGTTTCTTTCCATTGGAAGAACCCCTTTGAAATCATCTGTCCCCGTCTTGGGATCTCATGTGATCTCAAGGCGTTGATCAACGAGCAGCAGAGTCCTAGAGCAATACGCCCCGAGTGACAGGCCTGACAATCGGAGTGATGGATTCGGGCTGGGAAAGCGGTACTCGAAGCGAGGCAGTGACACCAGCGCGCCTCCGCTGGCCGCCGAGAGCAAGGAGAAGTGGTCTCCCCAGAGGCCGGTACACAAAGGGCCAGCTTCACCTTCTGATCGGCGGACCAGGACCTTTAATGTCCGGACAAGGACTATGTGAAACCTCTGCCCTGCGAGGCTGGCAATGCATACTTCATCCAAAAGGCACGGGAGGGAGGGGATAGGGTGAAGGAGGATACTGTTATTTTTAATAAAAAGTTTTTAATTCCGAAATTCCCCTGGCAAAACCTAGTGCATTTTCCCCCGCGAGAAAAAAAGGATGGGGGTAGGGTAGACGCATCTCTGGAGTTTGCATCGACGTGCAGCACTTACAGCGATTCCTCCCTCCTCGGGGATGCTGACCTCTCCATGGTCTCCACCCGACCCCCAATAGCAGCTAGGCCGGGTGCAGTGAGAGAATTTTACGCCTCTAAGCAGAACACCGTAAGAAACCTGAAACATACCAAACATCTAAACTATAAATCAGTGCGCAGGCACCTCGCGCCCGGCGCATCCGGGAGGGGCGCACCGCCTAGGGAACCGCGGCTTATTGCGACCATCTCACCCCAGAAGGGACACCTCAAACTTGCAGGCTTTGGACCCGACTGGCTCAAAGTTGTTGGAGCGGTTTACGCCGCGTCCCGAGAACCGTGGCTGCCTCCGAGGCTCGGGCGCTTCCAAGTGAGGACACCCGGGAGAAGCCAATTAGGGGAAGAGAGCTGGACCCGAGCAGAGCCGGGACTGAGCCCGAGCAGAGCCCGAGCAGGACCAGAGCAGAGCTGGGGCTCTGGAGGCGCGGCCCGCCCCTAGGCTGCCTCCCGGAAAGGCTTGGACTTGGCAGTGCCGGAGCCGGCGCCAGGAACTCCTACCCCACCCCCAGCCCACCCCGCCCCACCCCAATCCACCCCACCCCACCCCACCCCAGACACACACGGCCTGTGGGTGACTGCCCCCGCCAGCACCACCCCTCGGCGGTGCGAAGCGAGAGAGGGCAGAGCTACAGGAAAGCCAGCGGAGGATAGGGAGCAGAGCCCAGGGTCCCGGCGAAGCCCCGTCCTCTCTGGGACCCCCGGGGCAGGGGCAGCCCAGTGGGGGGAGGGGAGGAATACGGCGGGTGGTAAAGGCCGAGGCGCCGGGTTCGCGGGCGAGGCCCCTTTAAGGCTCTCCCCTCCCACCGGCGTCGCAGGCCTCCGCCCGCCGCTCTCCCCGCCCCGGGGTCCCGGCGAGAGCTGCGATTGGGCGGGCGCGGCGATCCCTTTGAAGTGTAGCTGCCGATCGCGGCTATTTGACGTGCGGCTCGCGAAAGGCGAAGGTTTTTGTGTTGCTCGCCGGGGCTAGTGGCGGCGGCGGCGGCGGCGGCGGCGGCGGCGGCGGCGGCGGCGACGTCGTCGTCGTTGGAGGAGGGGTGGAGGCGCAGCGACTGCTGCACCGCGCTCGGCGCTGCGGAGCGAGCCCACCCGCCCCGGAGCGAGCCCACCCGCCCCGGGAGCTCGCCTCCCGGTGGTCCCCCTCCCTCCCCGCCCCCCCAGTGGCGCTGCCTCCTCCAAATGAGCGATTCGCCCGCTGGATCTAACTCAAGGACACCCGAAAGCAGCGGCAGCGGCGGCGGCGGGAAGAGGCCGGCAGTGCCGGCGGCGGTGTCCCTCTTGCCTCCGGCGGACCCCCTGCGCCAGGCGAACCGGCTCCCTATCAGGGTCCTGAAGATGCTGAGCGCTCACACCGGCCACCTCCTGCACCCGGAGTACCTGCAGCCGCTGTCCTCCACTCCCGTCAGCCCCATTGAGGTCAGTCCCCTGGTCGCTAACCGCCCTGCGCCGGCCCCATTCCGCCCACCACTGCCGGGCCCACGGCCCTGCTCCCTGCGCCCCGGGGCTCGGTGCGACGCTCAGATCCGGCCACACTGGCGGACGGAGTGAGGAGGGACGGAGAACAGAGGGGTTAGAGCCCACCCGGTTCTCCCCCGGTTTCTCCGGGAAAGGTTCCCCTCCCACACTCGCCCTTCGGAGCTACGTGTTTTCTCTCGGATTGCGTTTGCTCTTGGAGTCTCCCCTGGGTCCTTTACTTCTCTTGGGCACCCAGTGTCCAGGCCAGAGATGATCTCTCCTGGGCCTTTTCCGCCCGCCCCCACCCCCACCCCTCCACCCGGGTTTGTTCTCTCTGAAGCCCGATCGCCCCCGTCCCACGCCGCCTCGGTCCCATCCGGTTAGAGTGCACTACGCCCAGGCACTCCCGACCCCAGGTCTTTCTTCCTCCCACTTGCCTGGGTGCCCTCCCCGGGAGGGAGGGGCTACGGAGAGAGCGCCAACGGCAGCCCTGGCTTCAGAACGCGCTTCTCCCGGCTCCTACCCCGCGGCGCCACCGCCAGAAACCCGTCCCAAGCGAAGTTACCCAAACTGAAGGAATAAGTTTTAACCCGGGCCTAGAGGCGGGGAGATGAGAGGGCAGGAGTCGAGTCACAGCCCCTCCCCCAGCCCCGAATCCAGAGAGGTCACCTTCTCCCGCGGTGGCCTTTGGTGGACTACTTCCACTGCCCATTTCCTGGGGCCTACGGCGCACTCCGGAACCCGGTGGAGCGAGGGATCCCACCGACGGGCAGTGTGAGCTTAGTTCCGCCCAGCTGCCCCGCCCGCCCGCCAGGCCTTCGCAGACCCTCTCCCTGAGGCCTTCCCGCCCCGTCGCGCCGCCTTGCGTGCTCCCCGCGCCCACCGCCCTCCCCTGGCGCCCCGCTCGCTCGCTCCGTGGGTCTCTGGTCTCACCCCCGTCTCCCTTCCCTTACCACTGTCTCCCACAGCTGGACGCCAAGAAGAGTCCTTTGGCGTTGCTGGCCCAGACTTGCTCGCAGATCGGCAAGCCGGACCCGCCGCCCTCGTCCAAGCTCAACTCGGTAGCGGCGGCCAACGGGCTGGGAGCGGAGAAGGACCCTGGCCGCTCGGCCTCGGGCGCCGCCTCCGCGTCTGCGGCACTCAAGCAGCTGGGGGACTCCCCGGCCGAGGACAAGTCCAGCTTCAAGCCCTACTCCAAGGGCTCCGGAGGCGGCGACTCTCGCAAAGACAGCGGCTCCTCCTCCGTGTCCTCCACCTCCTCCTCCTCCTCCTTGTCCCCGGGAGACAAGGCGGGCTTCAGGGTCCCTAGCGCCGCCTGCACGCCCTTTCCCCCGCATGGAGCGCCGGTCTCGGCGTCGTCGTCCTCGTCCTCCCCCGGCGGCTCCCGGGGCGGCTCCCCGCACCACTCTGACTGCAAGACCGGCGGCGGGGGCGCCGGCGGGGAGCTGGACAAGAAAGACCAGGAGCCCAAGCCCAGCCCGGAGCCCGCGGCCGTGAGCCGAGGCAGCGGTGGGGAGCCGGGTGCGCATGGCGGCGCCGAGGCCGGGGCCTCCGGGCGCAAGTCGGAGCCGCCCTCCGCGCTGGTGGGGGCCGGCCACGTGGCGCCGGTGTCGCCCTACAAGCCGGGCCACTCGGTGTTCCCGCTGCCACCCTCCAGCATCGGCTACCACGGCTCCATTGTGGGCGCCTACGCCGGCTACCCGTCTCAGTTCGTGCCTGGCCTGGATCCGAGCAAGTCTGGCCTCGTGGGAGGCCAGCTGTCGGGGGGCCTGGGCCTGCCCCCGGGCAAGCCCCCCAGCTCCAGCCCTCTCACCGGGGCCTCCCCGCCGTCCTTCCTGCAGGGATTATGCCGCGACCCCTACTGCCTGGGAGGTTACCACGGCGCCTCGCACCTCGGCGGCTCCAGCTGCTCCACCTGCAGCGCGCACGACCCAGCTGCGCCTGGCCTGAAGGCGGGGGGCTACCCGCTGGTGTACCCCGGGCACCCGCTGCAGCCCGCCGCGCTCTCGTCCAGCGCCGCCCAGGCCGCGCTCCCCGGCCACCCGCTCTACACCTACGGCTTCATGCTGCAGAACGAACCGCTGCCGCACAGCTGCAACTGGGTGGCGGCCAGCGGGCCGTGCGACAAGCGCTTCGCCACCTCGGAGGAGCTGCTCAGCCACCTACGGACTCACACGGCCCTGCCCGGCGCCGAGAAACTTCTGGCCGCCTATCCGGGGGCCTCGGGCCTGGGCAGCGCCGCCGCGGCCGCTGCGGCCGCCGCCTCCTGCCATCTGCACCTCCCCCCGCCGACCGCCCCCGGCAGCCCCGGGTCGCTGTCCTTGCGGAGTCCACACACTTTGGGCCTAAGCCGGTACCACCCTTACGGCAAGAGCCACTTATCCACAGCCGGGGGCCTGGCCGTGCCGTCCCTCCCCACAGCCGGACCCTACTACTCACCATACGCGCTGTACGGACAGAGACTGGCCTCAGCCTCCGCGCTCGGATACCAGTAACTACAGCCCTGCTTCCCTCCCCAGCCTCCTCTCCTCCCCGCCGCCGCCTCCCTTCCCCACCCGCCTCCGCTGCCTCCTCCACCACTGCTTGTCCCTGCCGGACCCCCGCCCAGACCCCCCCCCTCACCGGACTGTGTATTTATTTACTGTAATGTTAGCTTACAAGCTGGGAATATAAGTGCATTAACGGCCCACACGAGTCAATGGTATGCAAAGAGTCTGTTCCCCCCCAAATAATAATATTAATCACACAGGTAACTACATGTCCCCGGTCCCTCTTCCTTTCTCTTCCATTTTTTTCTTTTACTTAGATGTAAGTTTCCGGTTTTTTTTTCCCTTTTGCGCTTTTTTTTTTTTTTTGATTGGTTTGGTTTTATGGGGAGGAGGGGGAGTTGGGGGTTCTTTTTGTTTTCCCTTCCTGGGGAGTTTCTTGCATGCTTCTTAACTGTTCAAACTACACTTCCTCCTTCTCTTCTCCCCTCCTTTCCCCTTCATTCCTTCTTGTTTCCATCCATTTGAGGTTCTGTTTTTTTCCTTTGTACGAGTAACAGAGAGGAGGTATTTTTTGTAAGGCATTTGGGGGTGCAGGGAGCGGCCTTGGGAGCTAGAGGTCTTGCCCTCTTATGGACCTGGAACTTTGCTCTGTGACCCCTGATCTGCCACTCTCTCCCCCTAGGCTCCTTGGTCTGCGCCCTGGCCCCCCAAATTAGAGCCTTGCTCCCCGATCTTGCTCTGAGGACGGGTCAGTGGCCGGAGAGGCGCCTCCAACAGAGCCTTTCTCCTCCCAGACTCTTCCAGGCCCCAGACACCGGGTGGCCACCCTGCCTGATGGTGAGGGGCCCGCAGGGCTCACTTCACTGAAGCAAAAGTTCTAGAAGGCCCTGCTGGCATGGAACTTTGCTCTTTATAGTTTGCAAAGTGCTTTTATAGTCTGTTTTTCTCTGGCTGTTGTGGCTGTGGTCCCTGTCCTGGCGATGGGGGCTGGGTGGGTGATTCTTGCTAGATCCTTCCAAAGCAGACCAGTGGTAGTATCAGCTGGCAGCACAGCCTTGTTAGCACCATTGGGGGAGTTAGGGAGCACACGGATCACAGCAACCCCGGTGGCCCCCTCCCAGGCCTGACCCTAGAGTCCCCAAAGTTGGCCGTGGGCTCCCTCAGTTACTGGGATTGAAGGCTCGGCCCCGGGGTCTTCACCCAACACCCTCCCTCCCTCCCTCCCGGCCTTATGCAGCTGCGCAAGGGCTGCGGGGCCTGTTTGGGATGAATAGAGCTCTCCCTTGGTAAGACTTATTTTGTTAATAAATGGAGTACTTGGCTATATTCACACCGTGGTGTGTTTCTCTCTTGCCTGCCCCACTGACCCACTTCCAGACGCCTAAGCAGATGCCCTTCTTTTGTTCTTGTTTAAAACACCTTATGGTTTCCTTCTCAGATTTCCGTTCAAGGACGAGTTTAATGCCTTTCCTCAAGAAAGCAGGGGAGAAGAAAACAAAACTTCTGCCAACGCGTTACAAATAACATAAAACGGCCCCTTTTTTTCCAACTTGGTTATTTAGCTCCCAGCCTCACTTCGAAGGCCTTGACATTTCCTGGGGACGGGGTGGAGGGAGTGTGTAAATGTGGATTTTCCTCTGGGCCTAGATTCGAGGTCCAGGGGCCGAGAAGGGAACCAAGCAGGCCCCAAGACCAAGAGACTCGGCAGCGCCGCCCCGGAGCCCTGCGGGCGAGCAAAGACGACGTGCCTCTGGCGCCACCAGGTGGCGGAAAGGCGAACGACTGTCGCCAGCCCCGACCGCGCCTTCCGCGCTTCGCACTCCAAATGGGGAGGATTTCCTCTCCCTGACGGTGCCTTTTATACACCTTGAAGCTGAAGGGTAAATGCACCTGTTGAGAAGAGTGCTTCTCAAGGCTTGGGGACTCCCCAAGGCCAGCTCTGGATTGTGGACCCCAGTCGTCCGCGCCCCCAGAGACTTCTCTGAGCGGGGTTTGGGTTTTGTGGAGAAGGCGCGGCGATAACTCGGGACCTGGAAGCCACACTCGGTGCCCGTTTTCTTGAGCTCGCTCGATTGACACCGGCTTCCGCATCCTCGGGCAGGCCAGAGTTGGGGTGCCGTTTATCGAGATGGTGGGAGAGGGCCGGGGCACCTCCCCACTGCCCGGGGAGTCCGAGGGCCGGAGGAGAGGGCCGTGCGGGCCCGGGGCCTGTGCGTCCTCCCCGGGCTAGGGGCGCCGCTCGGGTTCCGGCTGCAGGACGCCCGGTGCCCACCTCTCGGGGTGCGGCGGGCCAGGGCGCGCGGGGCCACCCGATGGGCGCACTGCAAAATGCCTGCCTCGCCCCCTCCTGGCCGTGCTCCTCTGCGTCGGCGCCGCGCAGCTTTGGGAGATGCTGCTGTTGCAGTTCGCGTTGTTTTGCTTTACTTTCTCCGTGAGGAATGCGACTTGGGGGCAGCTCCCGCTCCGCAGACTGTGTGCTTCTGAAATGTCCCTAGACCCAGAGGTCAAGTGCGGAAGGGGGCGGGAGGGATGCTGCGCTCTCTGCGCCCTCTGCCCTCGCTGTCTCAGCCCACAGCCGTCCCCAAACTCCTTTAGAGACTCACAGGGTGGTCTCGGCCTCCGGCATCATGACCTCGGGATTTGACAGAACCTCAACATATGATGTTTCTGCGGGGGGGTTGGTTTGGGGTTTGCGGGGGTCGCCCCTATATCTTTGTTTCTGGGCAAAATTCCTTCACTAGTCAAGGGAACCTCAGTCTTCTTCTGAAGCAAATGGCAGTGCTGGAGTAAGACCCGCAGGGGAAGGGACCTGGGCTGCTGGCATCCTTGTGCACAGGGCAGGGCAGAGTCAGGGAGAGGCTGGATGGGCTGGAGAAGTCACCCTGAGAGCCAGCTCAGGGTCTTCCTGGGGAATCATCCTTATGCAACTTCTCAGAGTTCAAACTGGCCCAACGGAAGCTTTAAAAGACCTGAAATATAGCAACTTGTTTTACTTTTTCTTTTTCTCTGTTGTTTTGTTTGCTCTTGGTTATTTTATTTCCCATCTTCCTTCCTCTCAAATCCCCCTCTTTCCTTCAGATACCTTTTTTGGTTGGTTTGTGTGTGGGCGGGGTTTAATGCCTGCTAAAATTGCTGGAAATTGCTCCCTCTGCAGGGAGACTTAAGCTTTTCTCTTTCTTAAACTGGGTCTTCAGACCTCCCTACCTAAGGACCACAGGGCTCCCCTTGTTGGGACAGCAGAAAGGGAGAGACTCCATAACTCCAAGAGCAAACTCTCCATATAGCAAAAGAAACACCTCTCTAGGTGCTTGGCTTACGTGGGAGGTGTGAGGATGCAGGTTACAAACTCCTCAGAGGATTGAGTTTCCCCCAGAAAATGTATTATCGGCCTTTGCAGACCAGGAAGGATGCCCGTTGGCCTGATTGGAAAAGGCTGTCACCAACTACCACTGTGACACGAAGGGCAGACATTGTAGCCTGGAGGGGCCCAGTTTTCACCCTCGGATGTCAGCTCTCCTCACCATAAATGGGTGACAGTTCTAAGACATGGGGCAGTTTTCACTAACTG